ATAGTAAACTCACCCATTAACACACCAAATTTCTAATCTCCCAACCTCCACAGCCTTGAAAGTAGACTGGACTCCTAGCAATAGTCACCTGCCCCAGAGATGGAGAGAATGAGAATCTGGGACTCTGCCAAGGCGGTTCCAGACCAGGTTGGCATTCAGGTCTAGGCTGCAGGAGGAAATTCTCCTGCAGGGAAAGAGCAACTGAGTATGTGTTTGCCATCTCAGCTTCTGGAGGAAAGAGAGCAAATTGTTCCGCTCCAGATCCATTGTCAGCAGGTCCTTTCCTGGACTGGACTGAGTGTGTGCCAGCACATCACCAAGCAGAGGAGTGTGCAAATGAGCCCTGTGTCCAGACACTGTTTTCTTACTTATGTGGTCAGAAGATTTCTCAAGTGAGGAACCGAGGTGCAAAGGAAACTTGCAGATTGTGTCTCTGAAACCAAACCTGGAGCTTCTTCCCGTCCCCGAGATGTAGTACAAGGGTCAGTGGCCTTGATCCCCTGCTTCAGGACATGGCACTTGGCCTTCAGGTGAGAGGACTGTTGATGGGCAGAACCTTCTGCTGCTGGCCCAGGCAAGCACCCCTGCGGCTTCATTCTTCCAAGAAGGAACAACGATGTGATCTCAGATTTCAGAGTTGGTACCGGAAGGATGCTAGTCCTGAATCTGGGTGGCCCACTGAGAACGTCCCACGTTAGAGATGGTCCATCCAGGATATATGGGTTCAATGGATTCAAGACTGTCCACGGAGGATGTTGTAGTCGCCAAGGTGGAGATGTTCTTCATGGGTTCAATGGTTGTTTTTCAATACCAGGTGGGAGCCTTCCCAGTTCCAGGGACCTCTCACCTGTGAAGTGAGTGTGATAACTACTATACTACAGAATTACCCTACATAGCCAATTTGTCGCTCTGCTATCCAAGACAACTACAGTCTCCTTGCTAAGGTGCCATCCAGAAGTTCCATATCGACATTAACAAACAGAACCACAAAGAAAGAAATCAAACCAGGAAAAAAAGCTGTGGATGAGAGGACAGTTAATGGTACAGGAAGGCGTCCTGGCTGGTTGTGTGTCGATTTGACACAAGCTACAGTCATCATGGAGGAAGGAGCCTCGATTGGGGAAACGCCTCAGTGAGATCCAGCTGCAAGGCATTTTCTCAATTAGCAATCAATGGGAGAGGCCCAGTCCATGGTTGGTGGTGCCATCACTGGGCTCCTGTCCCAGTTTCTATAAGAAAGCAGGCTGAACCAGCCAGGGGAAGCAAGCCAGTAAGCAGCATCCCTCCATGGCCTCTCCATCAGCTCCTGCCTCCAGGTTCCTGCCCTGTTTAAGTTCTACCCTGACTTCCTTTGGTGATGAACAGCAATATGGAAGTATAAGCTGAATAAACCCTTTCCTCCCCAACTTGCTTTTTGGTCATGGTGTTTCCTCCCAGCAATAGAAACCCTAACTAAGACAGAAGGAGTAAGG